GGGACAAGAATTTTGCTTCAGACAGATTGTTCGTCGATCCTTGTAGATGCAAGGATGACCAAAAATATGTCAGGCTAACTAACCACAGCCATAAACTTAGGCTGCAAATAACATTGCCCCAAATTACATGTACATATTATGCATACCAAATGGTTTCACATCAGTTTGCATTAAGGCACAGTTGATTGTTCAATTCATGACTGTCAAACTATATGGCAGTCTTTAATGAGTAAGCAGATAATTATACTTAAAGTGTCCGTGCAATACCATAATTTAACAAATGTATCTGCAATGATACCAGGTCCTAGTAGTGGCTCATAAAAGTTACTATGATGCATATTCACTATGGAAAGGCAAATTTGGTTTATCCAGGACAGCAGTAAAAATGGGCTGTGTGCTGCCATAAAAGTGGTAAACAGCTGACTTCCAAAAATGTATATGTGTAGAATGCAAAAAGTTGCCTCTATGAGAGGGTTACAGTTACATTTTTACATTATTTTTATTCAGTGCTTTTCAAAATTGTAGTAACAAAGAAGATGAATTATTTAAAAAAAAGTTAAAAGAATTTGTACATATATAATTATAAATTCTAAGCCTTTCCCTGCCTATCATGCAAAAATCTCTTTTGGGGTAGCTAGTTGGATGTGGATCACTTCTCTGTGTCAAAACTCAACTCAGTCTTTAACCTGGTTAAAGAATGCCGATCACGTGTTTGGTCTCGTCAAAGGACGTCAGTCAAACTATTTGTTCAGGCTCCATTTGGCGCAAGGCCTTTAGAGCCTGAACAATTTTGAGCTTTGTTTTGTAAAATGCCATAAAGGGGCCTTTCTGTACACTCTTTTTGTGTGTGATTGAAAATTCTAAATAATATATTGTGCAAACATCATTTAATAAACCAAATGGAAGATAAGAGCATTTAAAAACTACTTTGATAATAACCGAAAAGCCGTCAGACCACGATTCATTTTATAATATAACGACATCAGTGGGTCTGCGGTGGTTATAGTATATCAATCCTACATTTTGTGGGTGTAAAGTTAGCCTGACCTAATACAAGGACTTAGATCATTCTGCGGCTCGAACAAATGCCTCAGTGCGGTGGGAGCTCATTTCCATTTCAATACATACGCAGCGATTGCAACGTGGCGTCAGATGTTTGGAAAATATCCTAGATTTCTCCGAAGCTAGATTTCACTGAAAACTCCTCTCGAGGTACCACTGAAGATGTCTTTTATAAATCTAGTTTTGTATTGGTATCCTCACAATTTAATTTCCTACAACTTGCACTTCATATATGAGTAGGCTATGGCATTAACAGAAATGGCTCGAGTCACCAGAATGATTAAACATGATAAACCTGCCACGGTTAAGAACTAATGATGGTGAAACTATTTATTTTATTTTGTAATTATTTGTAGTTACATCTAATGTGAGACAAAATATCAGTGGCAAAATACTTCAAAAATATAATTAAAAATAAATATAGGCTACCTAAATACACTTGTGTCTGTTAAACGTATATGAATAAAGCCGGTGTTGACAGCCTTTTTATTGTGCAGAAGGTGAAAAGCGTTTGCCAAGATCCTGATTTATCGTTAAAGATTAAAATTGAATTGTTTTAAGACTGTTATATCGATCGGGTACCAATCGAATTAGTCCAGGAGGGCACACAGGCCCGTACAGAGTTCAGATCTTGGGAGAGCAAGGCCGAGGCAACCAAATGAGATGTTTATTATCTATTTATTCAGATAGGCTAGTATAGACTTTTGAATTAACACGTATAAATATTAATATTAATAATAAACGTGCAGAATTAAGTTTTAGTTTATATTGTCAGATCATTCCTTGCAGCGTTGCCTGTTGATAAAAAGACACTTTATTTGATAACTCTTGTAGGCTACTAGATGCACTGATCAGATTCGGGACAGTTATATTAATCAAATCTAAATTAAATTGATAAAATGCAAATAAACGAATAATTATTATAAATTATATAAATTAAATAATGTTAAAATGTGATTTTACTGTTGAATTCCCTTCTCATTCTCAGCGGCGGATTGAATTACGTGGAGTGCTGCCTCAACACCAACCCCCTGTCGAAGGTTTAATAGGCAATAAAATGTAATTGCTGAACTCCAAAACGTTACAACTCTTGGCCAGGAGACCCCCTGTGTCGTCAGATACAGTAAGGGACGTATTTGTGTACGCAGCATCAAGACATCAATCTCCTTCTTGAGGCATTCTGTTTTAGTCTACAAATTTGATGGCATCTAAAACTTCCCATGGGTTCATTTCAACCAGTTAAAAAAATCTAATTTTTAACGCCAACTTGGCTACAGGGAAATTAACAAAGATTAATAAAAAGAATGTAACGCAATTACACACCTAACTGCGTATTAATTTTGCGCACAAATAGTTTTCGGGATAACTGATGTTAGTTTTGATTAGCGATTATAAGCTACATTTGGCAGCCTTATAAAGATCTAATTTTGTCCCTCGAAAAATAAAAATCAATAATCCTCATATAACAGGTAAATACACATCGTAAACAAAATTATATCGTAATATATACTTTGAATCTCGTTTAATAGTAACCTGATATTTCTGAATAATAGTAACCTGTTTAATAGTAAATAGTTTAATAATAACCTGTAATTAATCTGAATGTTGAAGAAATAAATAACACCGCTGTTATTTTCAATAAGTACAAATTTATTCTATGAAAATGTGGCGCTTTGCCGGGGAACGATACAAAAATAAAACCTGAAAAATATCACTTTTTTTCTTGCCATATTTTCTCTGTAAACAAAAATTATCACTCGATTATTGAAAAACTTACCTCATTGATTAATGGTCTAGGCCTATTTTTAAAGTCACAATTAAACACACAGACCATCAATGTGAGAAAGATATTGACGTCCCTATAATGAAACTTCAGTTAGAGTTAGTAGCTCAAGTGTTGCAGGTCGATTGTTGTAAGCGTCTCGGAGAAGAAATCAAAGGCCTCCGTAGATAAACCAATGGGGCTGTCTACAGATTCTGACAAACTTGGGGACACGGCATCTGAGAGGTGTAAGCAGGAATCATTGGAGAAAACGTTGAAGTCCTGTAAAGAGACGTCCAGGGCCGAGGGACTGCCATTGTCCTGAGCAGATGCACAGTCCGGGGCCATTGTTGAGGCGCAGATAGGAACAGTGGGTGACGGGTTGGGAAAATGTTTCAGATGTTTGTCATTGCTACCTAAAGGCGAGACAGTTGCGCTTTGGGAATCACTATTGTGTCCATTCTGTGACTGTTGAGAAGTTAAGGTATTCTGCTGAAATGGATAACCTTCTCTTTCCAAAAGCGCCCCTGATACATTGTTTGCCACTTGTTCGAAAAAATATTTCCCATCACCCCGTCCGCCGGCTTCCTCCAGGCTCGGTGGTTTTCCATCGCCGTGATGGTTCTCTTTACACTGCGTTTGCCGTTTATGTTTCATTCTCCGGTTTTGAAACCAAACTTTGACTTGCCGCTCGGTGAGGTCCAGCAGAGCGGCGATTTCCACACGCCTTGGTCGGCAGAGATACTTGTTGAAGTGGAACTCCTTCTCCAACTCCAGCAGCTGAGTGTTAGTGTACGCCGTTCTGAGTCGGCGAGTTGCCCCATTGCCACCATCAGAAATCTCGGGCGAGCCTATGAAGGGATCACAGCATTATACATTATTGATACTCCACTAATTATAACTCTTGTTTTTTACAGTGCCGCTGTGGGGCTTAAAGCTGACCCCACAAACTTGTCTAATATATTGCGCTTCTCGGGGAGCATAAATTGTTTGTGGGAATGGAGCCACGGCACTTGAATAATTTGTGTCCTCATCCCCTATGCCAGAATATACTGATGTGTCTGGTGTGAGTGCGGAGAGGTCCGAGTGAAGATTAATGAACACGCCAGCTGCCGAGTTGAGTAATGGCAATCTATCATTCTTCATTACTGTCAAATATTAAAATTCATGCCCTACACTACAAGTAGCTAACACACAGTTTAGAAGTTGTTCAGAACAGATCCTCCGCATCCAAAAACGAACAAAAAACTTTTAGATATTAACTTGTTCGTATTAAGTTCACATGACCCATGAGGATAACAAACTATCTTGCACTTTCAGCAGCATGGCCTTGCGCAAAATAATAATAATTAATAATAACTTGCATTTCGTTTACAATAAACTATAAAACAATAAAATTGCATTAAATTCAAATACCTTGAGGGGAGAAGTATAGTGGACCAGGGTCGGTGGTGGTTGTTGCTGTCGAAGTTGTCAGGTTTTTCTTGGATGCCTTTTTCTCCTTCATCCAAGGGTACTCTGGGGGTAAGGATGCGGCAGGCAGCGGGCATGAGCCATTAGGGTTCTGCTTGGGCCGGCTGTGGCGAGGGTGGCTGCCGGGGTTCAGGCTTGGAATGGTCTGCTCAAAAGGAGGAGGAATCAGTGTCGAGTGTGAAAGCGTCGAGCTCTTGATTGATGAACTTTGAAATGCATCACCGACAGGGGGGAAAGATGTCAGGCACTCAGCGAGCGACGGCTGACTATTGATAAAACCCGTCTCTCTCTCGAATTCGTAATTCATCTCCTCCAAGTCTTCCAAATTCGCCGCTCACAAATTTGTGACCCAAGGAAGATAAAGTGAAATATCGTGCCGGGTTAAAAAAAACTATTTTGCTGATTACGGCCGTATGGGGACCGCGGTGCCATTAAACTATTGCTTTCATGGAGACAAGGTTGAAATTGGACCGTATTGCTTGTCACATGATTACCTCTGTCCAATGACAATTTGGGGTTTAATCAAAAGAAGCCACTGTCTGTGTGATTGATCGAAAAAAGTCCGAGAGGAACGCCTCACTCTCTGGGACGGGCTAGTTTATTTACGCATTTATGGTCAGTTTGCCCACTGCTCCGTAGATTGCAAGTATAGCCAGTACCTGAAACAAAGTGACAGTGAGTCCGTCTGCTGTTCTTCCTTTATTGTTTGACCGGCCCTCGGCTGAAGATCCCCCAACACATCAACTGGACACATAAACACAACAAACGCCACGATCGAGAAAACCCATTAATCCTGAGTCTGGGTTTTTACTACTTAGAGAATGCGCGCTCTCGTTTGCCAATGCACGAGCAAAGGCGCGCGAGACAGGACGCGCGCGCACATTGCGCGCAGACAAATTCTTTGAAAGCCCCGACGCGCCCGCGGACTGACGCATTACGCTTGCATATGTATTAGTGCTGTTTTAGTTTAGTTATTTTAAGAGATATTACAGTTCCTTTTGTTAATTACTGTACTTTTGAAATTACATGAATTCAAATATTTTTGGATGACATTTTTCTACTTTTAGTGCAACTAACATAGTTGCTATTCAGTGCAGCATTTATGAAAATGGAATGTCTGATAGTACATTCAGTTAAAACAGAACATATTTTGTATTATGTAAATAATGACACACTTCACATTTTACCTGAATTGACAATATGTTTGATCGGCGCTAAATCGTCTTACACATACAATACACAATAACGTTATTAAAATAAAATAAAAGTGTACATTCCTTAGTCTTTTGCGTTCAAGAATGTGTCTTCTATGTTGTTCTCAGAAGTCTTTAGCTAAGTAGGTGTAGGCCTCGAGCACTTTATTGCTTATATTCCAAACAAAGAGCCCTGGAAGCCTGCACGCTATCAATCTTACACGCCAAAAGGTCTGACAGCTTAGTGCCCTAAGAACACATTTAAACCATCTAACACTCCCTTAGATCATATGTGGCCAGGAAGAAGAGAACAGCGTAGTACTCACGGTTGAGAGTTTCCCCATTTTATAAATTAAGTTTACAAAAGCGATATTTTCCGATTAAAGGACTGACCTTGATCATGATTTTATTCCGGATGTTCTTCGAATGGACCAGCGTTATTTCGGACCAAAAAAAATCGTTCGTTTTATATTTTCGTTTTTGGAAAGTCAGCCTTTATCGAAGGTTTGGGAATGAATAGGATTACATATTGATTGTAAAAGAGAAACCATGTGTTTTTGCAGCCACACAGGAGCTATTGTGTGTAGATGAACGTGGGTGTCGGCATTCTTCAGAAATATCCACTCCTTCCTACACATTTCCACCACGAACGAAAAATCGTCATCGTTTCCCACGAGCTGAACATCGAACTTTATCAAGGATGTATCTTTACGGATACTGTTAATTGTCGTATTAAATATATGCTAATCTGTCTGTTGAAATATTCATTCATATTTAGCCTACAATGCATTGTATTTATTCTCATTAGATAGGCCTGACAGAATGGATATGTGAGTATCAAAATATATTGCCGTGCTTTGAATGAAGCCTGTTTTTTTGTGTGTGTTTGTTTGTTTGTTTTTGCAAATTGCCAATCGAACTATAAATTTCATGTCTTTGCAAATCTATTAATGCATGTACATGAAAACTAAAAGTTTTTAAGTTTATGTGCTTGTAAAATAGTATCGTAAATGTGTTTTAAGGTTTGTCAAATTCGGAATTAATTCGAAAAAGGTTTAATCAAAGGCTTTGCAACACAGTCTTTGTCTATTGGCTTAGGTCAAATTCTCAAAGTCGAGATTATGATGTTGACTATGTGAGTTGCCTTAATTTAATGTATGTCGAATAAATGCATCAATGTGCAACTGAAAAATAACACTGAAATGTTAGTCTACATTTATGAACGGCATTAAGATATTAATAAGAAACTGTTTATTAAACTGTTTAATACATTTTAAAACGATGTTTCTCGAAGGACAAATCTATAAAAATAAGTGTTGTTTTTAAAGATATAGATTTTTAATAATCATTTAATTATTTGGCGATTTGCATCATTTTTGTCCGCGTGCTGAGTATGTTCCAGCACCTTGTCTTTTTGGATGCGTCTGGCTCGATGGACAGCCCCGCTTCCCGTCTGTTAGACTAAATAATGAATGCTTAACTTGGTCATAAAACACAAGTTAAGAGTGAAAACTTGGCTCGTTGGATCATCAAACAAATGAAGCGGTCAATGTGCTGCATTCAAAACTAATGCATTATATAGATTGAGTACATATAGGCTATATATAAAAATGTATTTACTTCAATACATAACCATAGGCTGTAATAATAATAATAATAATAATAATAGGCTAATAATAATAATGTGTTCAATTTGTAAACGTCTTTTTTGTTTTGTTTTGTTTTGTTTTGTTTTTACAAAATATTATAAAATGCGTTTTCATTTTATAAACATAACTGGTAAACGTTTGTTATAGACCGCAATTCTCTATTTTCTTTTTTGAATGAAGTGGCCTACATATGTTTTCTTGTTTTCTTTTGGGATTTTATTGTCTGTATTGTCTTACATTTAAGCGAATGAATTCGTTTGTTCTATAATTATAGAGTTCGTATGATTTACGTCAAGTCAGAGGCCTGTTAGCATATTTGAATAATTAATAGAGTAAGCACGCTGTTCATATATTTCAGAATATAACTAGCCAATATGTGAATGAGATATGGTCATCTGAATGGACTATCTCAGAATACTGTAAATACTGCTGCCTCGGTCAACCACGTTTCCAAACCCATTCGTTTATTTAAAAAAAATTTTTTTTCATCTGTCCGTATAACTCTCAGCGAGCTTTGTAAATTAGTGCGAGTGAGGCGTATATGGGGTGTTTATGATGTCTGCGAAGGCTGCAGCGGCAGTAGCTCTAGCAACAGTGGCGTTTGATGGATGACCCTCTACCCACACACATTGCACTCGGTCGTAAACGAGCTCCAAGCTCCTATTGTTGTGTTAGAGAGGTGTATGTCATTTCCGGGCATATGCACTATACCCCTGCCCTATAAGATAATCATGCCGTTTTATTCAGGATATGACGTTGTGAGAGTATAGCATGCACCAAATGAAGATTAGGCCTAGATAATTTGACTTGCCGGCGTTGACAAAAATGTAACAATTGTATAATTTAACTTCTTGATGCTAAAACAAAACATCAACGCAGGATAAATTCGTAAGCCAAGAGTCAAATAGGGTATTGTAAATATATAGACTTGGGGGGATGTCTCCTAACGATTGGTTACATCAAGAATCCTGACACTGATTAGCTACTTGAGACGTTTCAGTAGCCTATTTCCATTAGACACTATGAATAGATGATTTAACTATGATCTGAATATATGAGAATACGTTTACAACCGTGAATTCATTAGTAGGCCTAGTTATTTTTACGTAAAAATTTTAACAAAAATATTTGGTGACCAAATGAATCTATCGGTTTACGCATGTCACCTCTTTTACCTGCCTAGAAAGTTGTGGGTCAGTTGACTGTAAATTATCAAGGTAATGTGATCCAATAGAGCGCAGCTCCAGTATTAGGCTACGTGTTGACCATATCACTAAACGTACAGTAACCGTGTCTGATCCATGGGGGCGTCATTAGTCTCTTGCACCATGAAACGAAAATGCCGCCTTGTAAATGGCTAACTGGATTATAATGAAGTAAGAAGTTTTTATTCTAATGTTTTAGAACAGCATATGTCTCGTAGGGAGGCATGAAATAGATCGGTTAATAATGCCACCTTTAGACATGGACCGCTATTATATTTTACGATTTATGATTAAATAATTGTTTCAGGATTGTTTGCTCTGACAACGAATTTCTTCCAAAATAGCCATACTAGCTAATAAAAGTAGGGATTTAAAGACGCTATAAATATACCCATTGATATCTGTATTCCACGATTGGTGTACACTCTAAAAAAATTCTGGGTTATTGCAACCCAACATTGGGTCAAATATGGACTAACCCAGCTGTTGGGTTACATTTTTAAATTAAAGTTTTAACCCAAAAGTTGGGTTAGTCCATATTTGACCCAACGTTGGGTTTAAATAACCCAGCATTTTTTAGAGTGTACGATTGAGCTATTGTACATAGCTAGCTAAAATAATCAGATGTAAAGAGCAGCCTCTATTTTAAAAAATTGTTTACAGTTAGATTATTTATGAGCTGCCTTTCAACGAGATATGGTTTCCTGAAAAACAGCATTTATACTGCAAATGGAGGCTCAACATCGCCCCCTTTCTGCTATCCGCCCTCTTTCTCTAAACGCGTAAAGCTGGGTTTCCCTGTAACGTCAAGAATTTTAACTTAGACGGCGAGTAAGGTATTTCTAATGTACACCAATTATTTTACGACGTACTAACACCTATTTCCTAAAATAAAACGTAGGATATTTATGAATATTTCTCCCCAACACGAGAAGAGTGAAAATGCTGCCAATCTTTCTCTCAGTTTAGAGATTAATGAAGCACTATGCACTTTTTTTACCATCATGCATCATTCATTTGACTGCCATGTTACAATATAATTGCAATATAGAAATGTACATTATTAATCATTTCACACGAAATATTTATGCATTTGTGCATAAAAAAGAATAAATATTGTTAACAAAGGACTTTTTAAAAAGGTGCTCTCTTCTCATTTCTTTTCTTCCTCCATTGCAGGTTTAAAACTGTTTTGTTAGCCTACTGTAGTCTGTAGCATGGAAGCTGCATGTTGTATTAAGGCCATATCTGTATCGTAAG